AATAAATAAATAAAATAAACATTTTTTTAAATGTCATGCTTTTAAGTTCAGCTTATAAAATTTCTTATTCTTTTCATAAGCCCAGGTAGCATTGCCAGATAAAACAGAAGATAGGATGCCCAATTAAATCTGAATGATTTAAAAGTCACATTTACCTAGTGTTTTTATTTGCTAAATGTAACCAACCCTATATTTGGCAAACTTAATTACTTTTAAGGGGTCATAGATCCATTTTCAAACATTTTACACTTCTTTTATAAATTTAATATACTCCATTTCCTTGAAAACTTCTTCAGTTGTCTGAACTAATGAAAAAGCCATCTTTTTAAATACTAATTCTTTTTTTTTAAGATTTTTTTATTTTTAAGGAGTCTTTACACCCAATACGGGGCTCGAACCCATAATCCTGAGATCAAGTGTTGCACACTCCACCAACTAAGCCAGCCAGGTGACCCTAAATATTAAGTAATTTTAATTAATTAAACTTATGGAAACATAGTTAACCCAAAATTCTCATAAAGGTTTCAGAACGGTGCATACGGTTAGTATGAAACCCTTAGTAAGGTTTCAATTTAAAGTCACGAATCTGAATCCATCCCCCTAATTGCACATTTTACGTTGGAATTAAAAAATTGTCGGTTAAACGGGCCAAAATCTCTCACATGTTACACGTTCATAAAATGTACGCATGTACAGATTCCTTCTTAAAAGTCACAAAAAGCATGTACCACACTTAATTCTAAATCTTCTTCTGGTTGTAACCTGCCTATTTGCCAGGCAATCACCACCATTTTCCCCAGAGATTCAAGGAGGCCTGTTATAGGCTCTAGAGAGCTTTCTCTCACCAGGAGCTCAGGAAACCATTATTTCCCTCCATGTGCTCTTTGGGGCTATCTCCTTAGCCTGCCTGGGCATGGTTGGTCAGAGATTTTGGCCAGGATGCTGACTGGATGTATGTTAGTTATATATCCGCACCTTTCTCTGTGGCTACAGCCAGCCGCCCATCGCTTCAAAGTGGGGGCTGTCCAGAGATCCCAATGCTGGCTTCCAATTCTCATTACCCACCTTCTTCACGGAAGAATTTTCCTTGCCCAAGTCTGCAAAGCTCACCGGGGCTTACAACTTGATTGGATTTTGCATTTCAGATCTTCTGTCTCTGCGCCCACATCTCCAAAACTCATTTTACTTAGGTCAAAATCCTACAGCTCTTACAAAGCCCTCCTTTCCCGAGTCATACAGCTCTTACAAACATTAAAGCAATATCTGGTTGAATCGTGGATCTTTCTAGGGGCTTTAACTGGCTCTTCATCCTTAAAGTCCAAGCACATTTTCCTGACCCGTTCTAGCAGGCTAGTAATTGCTGTTCTTGGGAACACACTGCTAGCATTTGGTGTATTAAACTGTATACAGTAAAACTGCCTTAAAAAATTATGTAACTCAAACTAGACTTGACCTTAACAACGCCCATTGGGGCGATTAGAGAGTTGGAGCCTGGGTGTGTCCAGGGACAGCTGGCTGCCAAATCCCAGTGAGGACAGAAAGCCTGGCAGGATTTCCCTCCGGCCCCTGCTTCACTGCCCCCTCACAGAAGGCTCCTGCACCCCAGCTGCCCTCCGGGGTAGATGGCTTCCGAATTATCAAGTCTCAGGGAAAGAAGGCAGATGGCATGCCACCACAGGACGGATGACCAGATGTCACAGCTGGCTCCCGGTTGGGATATGAGTGACTTTGCGGAGGATGGTGCCCAAATTACGCAGGCCGATTTCCTCACCAGAGTGACAAAAACAGGGGCTCCTCAAAGACTAGCCCCTTTTCTCCATTTCCTTGGGGAATGAAACCCATGATCTTCAGTTCCTCAGAGAAGTGAAAGTAGCAACAAGGAATCCAGTAATTCCTGTTATCTGCAGGCTTTATAAGTCAGCTGAGCCTGAAGCAGTGTCCTAGAGCCCGCACACCAGACACCGCTGCCCTCTCTCTGAAGCCAGAGGAACATCAGGATGCCTCAGCCGCCCACCTTCCTCCTGCTTCTCCTCCTTTCCACCGGCAGTGCCCTGGCCCTGAGGCTCTGCTCCTTTAATGTGAGGTCCTTTGGGGAAGCCAAGAAGGAAAACAAGAATGCCATGGATGTCATCGTGAAGGTGAGACCTTTTCCTGTTGGAAAGAGCGCCGGACCCCCCTCGTGCCCTCTCTGATGCGTTCAGACTTTAAGAGACTCAGGAGATGTTCCACTCAAGTTAGTCGCTGGGGTGAAGGTAGCAGCCGCCTTGGCATTTTGTCACAATAATGGCAGCAGTAATTCCAGTAACCACATCACCTCTCTGGGCTTCATGTCATCATCTGAACGTGAGGGTAATGCCAGTACCTCCTTGTAGGACAGTTTTAGGGAATGCTTGAGTTGGCACGTGTGAAGCCCCTAAAACAGCATCTGGCTCCCGGTTACTGAACGCCCCTGTCAGGCACTGCAAATACGTGATTTCCTTTCATCACCCTTAAAAAGGAGGATTTTTATCCCCACGAAGAGATGAACAACAAAAGGTGAAGTGACCTCATATAGGTGGTGGGTGGGTAGGTGGAGGGGAGCTGGGAGACCAGCCCAGCCTGGTCTTTTTACCCATCAATGCAGCACAGATTTTTTTGCTAGCTCTTTTCTCTCTTCTTTTCTTTCTTTCTTTCTTTTTTTTCATTCTGTTTTGTTGCTTTTCATTTTTCTTTTCTTTCTTTTTCTTTCTTTCTCTTTCTTTCTTTCTTTCTTTCTTTCTTTCTTTCTTTCTTTCCTTCCTTTATTTCTTTCTTTCCTTCCTTCTCCCTCCCATCTTTCTTTCTTTCTTTCTTTCTTTCTTTCTTTCTTTCTTTCTTTGTTTTTTTTTTCTTTCTTTCTCTCTACACCCCTCTCTTCTTCCTTCTTCACTGCCCACCCCATCAACCTTTTCCCAACTATCAATTCTTATCTTTCTCTCCACTTAGATAAGACTTCCCTTGCACAGGGCACCTGGGTGGCTCTGTCAGTTAAGTGTCTGACTTTGGCTCAGGTCATGATCTCATGGTTTGTGGGTTCAAGCCCTCTGTCAGGCTCTGCACTGAGCCTGGAGCCTGCTTCGGATTCTGTGTCTCCCTCTCTCTCTGCCCCTCCCCTGCTTGTGTTCTCTCTCTCTCTTCCAAAAATAAATAAATAAACCATTTAAAAATTTACATATATATGTATATATATGTGTGTACATATATATGTATACACACACACATATATATATACATATATATGCATATATACATATATACATATATATACATACACACACACACACATATATATATGTATGTATATATGTGTGTATATATATATATATATATATATGACTTCCCGTGGGTATTGTGGGTATTGTGACCAATGTCTGGAGATGCTGCTCACATTTCTTTAGAGTTGCTTGACTCTCTTTACCCTACAGGTTAATTTATTTTTGATGATGCTGGGAGCTGAAACCTTTCCCAGGGCTCTGTCTGGGTATTATCACCTTAGAAACCCCTGGAGGCACCAGGGTATGGTGGGAACACCAGGAGCTCTGGGGTCAGATCCCACCAGGCAGCTGTGTGAGCAAGCCCGGGAATTCCCTTCTCCTCGCTGAGCCCCTGGGCCTTTCTGAAAGTGGGCCTTACACAACCTGTAGCACCAGTTGGCCTAGACAAATCAAGGTAGAGCCCGTGAGTGGGCAGGTGATCTCACACAGAGCTGCCCCTGTTGGCATTAATACACAAAGTGGATTAGAGCAAGGACTGGCATGCTCTGCTCTTACTTACATGGTCCTCTCCCTGGTTGGCCCTGCCCTTTGGACAGCACCCAACGCCTTCCAGAGATTGTTGTTCAGCCAGAAGAGCCATGCCAAGCCTGTGGGAGCCGAGACTCCCTGGCTCAACAGGCAACTTTGACATACGAGGAAACTATTTTCCCTGCTTCCTCACACAAGGGCTCGTGGAACCCAGGTACCGACTGTATTCCCATTACCTTCCTCACTTATTCTATCCAGGCAATGTCATCAGAGTCTTAAGAGAACAAAAGACTATCTTTTGTTCCTTGGTGATTCCATTATTGGGGGCTTATACTCAGCACCTCCCCTGAGCGGCTGTGTCGGATGGACACAGGGCTGATGGATGGACAGCCCATCGCACCAAACACCAAGCATGTGAAAAGTCTTTGTCAAGGACTCCTTACTTTCCCCATTGTTGCAAGACCATCCTGTAATCAGAGGCCATCCCCAAATACCTCCAGAGCCATTGAGAGCACAAACAATAAAACCCAAACCCAGGCATTCAGGAAAGTAATATTTACAGGGGCTAATGTCTAAGTACCTACTATAGGCCAGGAATTTTATATCCTTTTTTTTTAATGTTTATGTTTATTCATTTATTTTTGAGAGAGAGACAGCACAATCAGGGGAGGGGCAGAGACAGAGGGAGACACAGAATCTGAAGCAGGCTCCAGGCTCTGTGCTGTCAGCACAGAGCCCAACGTGGGGCTTGAATCCATGAACCATGAGCTCATGACCTGAGCTGAAGTCAGATTCTTAACTAACTGAACCACCTAGGTATTCCCAGGAATGTTATATTCTTATTATGACATAGGTGGCATTGCCCGCACTTTGTAATCCAGAAAACAGAGACTCAGAAAGAAGTGACTTACCCAGGATTCCATAGCTGTTAAGGGGAAGGATCAAGTCCAGACATATGACCCAACCATATTCGTGGAGGTGCGTTTTCCACTCTTCCATACTGGATTTATCACTTCAGAGACGAGCCCAGTTTCATCACGCTGTTGTCATTATGATCTTCATCAGGGAGGTTGGAGAGTGAGGGAGGCCTGCTGTCATCATCTTGGGTTTGCTGGCTGGCACCATGGGCAGTTTTCCAGATGCCAAACCCTGCCTGCTTCTGTCTGCTTCTTCAGTTTGTGTCCTTAAAGAGCGAAGTCTGTTCAGCCAACAAACACTTGCTGAAGGTAGACCACGTGCCAGCTGCTCTGAGGCACGCACTGGGGATAAGATGGTGGACATGGGAGGCATTGTTTCCCACAGCACATGATAATGATGATTTCCGGATTGCTTACTGTATGCCGGGTCCTTAACATGCAGTATCCAAGTTCAGCCTCACAACCCCACTGGTTGCATTTTGTAGACGAGACAACTGGAATTCAGAGAGGAGGAGTACATTGTCCTGGGCGTCATGGAGCAAGTGAGCAAAAGAACAAGGGCTTGGACCCAGGCCTAACTGACCCTCTCTGGGCTCTTTCCCCACCATGCTGGTTGCTCCCTGTTCAGAGGCACAACAAAAGGTTTAATAGGCTTCTCTGGCCCCAGAGTGTTCATAGAGTTCTCCAGAGTGTCCCTTCCCTTCCCCCCAGCCCCACTCACCACACCACTTGCTGGGAGCCCCTCACTACTGGCCATGCTCAATCCCTACTCCCTCCCTCTGTGAACAGCAGCCTCAGGAAAATCTTGAGTTTCAGGTTTGGGAGGGCCTTCTGGGGGCCCTCATCTTTGGAGCCTCATTCTGAGGAGATGGAGCCCGGGGGGGATCTATTTTTCCTGGCCTGAAATTGGGGCAGAGAAAACACGCATCAGTGGTGGATTTGAAAACTGAGAAAAATGCTCACAATGTCATGTGAGATTAAAAAAAAAAAAAAAAAAAAGACCCAAACCGTGTAATAAATATTGCCACTGTTTGCTGAGCGTCTTTTCTGTGCCAGGGACTAGACCGAATGTATTATTTCCATCATGTCCTTTAATCTCTATGGCAACCCCATAAGGAGGGTACTGTCCCAGTTTACAGATAAGGAATCTGGCGGTTCAAGGAACATTCGTGACTTGCTCAAGATCACACAGCTGGTGAGCGATAGAGTCAAGACATGAATCCAAGGCCACTTGATTCGATGCCTATATTTTCAACTAACGGGCTAGTTATTCTGATGCCATTTTGTAAATATGTATAAGTATAGAAATCACATGAGAAGTGTCTGAGTGGTGGCTTTACAGTTCATCAGGTGATTTTTTTATAGTCTTCTACATTTTCCAAATTTTCTACAATAAGCAACATTATTTTTATAATTAGAAAATTATAACAAAATTATTGTTTTAAGTTTATCTTGAGAGAGAGGAGTAAAGAGAGGGAGAGAATCCCAAGCAGGCTCTCTGCTGTCAGTAAAGTCTGATGCGGGGCTCAATCTCACAAACCTCGAGATCATAACCTGAGCCAAGATCAAGGAGATGTGGGGCTCCAGAGCATTTGTTATTGAGGCAAAAGGGTTGTAAACAGGGAATCTAAAAGCTCAACCCTTCAGGGGCGCCTGGGTGGCTCAGTTGTTTGAGTATCCAACTCTTGATTTCGGCTCAGGTCATGATCCCAGAGTTATGGGATCGGGCTCCAAGCTAGGCATGGAGCCTGCTTGGGATTCTCTCTCTCTCCCTCTCTCTGTCCCTCACCCCCACTCAAGCGCACACTTGTGCTCTCTCTCTCTCTCTCTCTGTCTCTCTCAGAAACAAAACAAAACAAAACGAAAAAATAAAAGCTCAACCCTTCTGCTCAGGAAAGGGAGTCTGAACTCTGGCCCATTTTTGTCCCGCGGCAATGGGTTACATTCAAAAGGGACCTTGGTCTCGGAGGAGGAGCAATCAGGGGATGTGGGGATCTCCTCCGTTGTTGAGCATAGTGGTCAAGCAGGGCTCCGCAGTGGATGATCCCATTATTCACATTCACAGGGTGTTCACATTACTTAACTGCACTGAGGCAGAGTCCTCAATTATACTATGGGGATAACAAGACGGCCAACATCAAAGGACTATTATAAAAATTTAGGGGCGCCTGGGTGGCTCAGTCGGTTAAGCAGCCGACTTC